ACCATACAAGTCAGCATTAGTTCCTTTGATGGCATTACCAATTGCTGCTTTGAATGACATGGAATACATGAAATTCTTTGGTTTCAAGTTCTTCAATGAGATCCAAACACAACTGTTTTACCAAGTTTACCACACAGATGCAAATATTTTGTTGTGCGCACCAAATGGAACAGGCAAATCAGTTATTGGTGAATTGGCCATTTTCAAACAACTTCTTGAAAATGATGATTCAAAGATTTTGTATTTGAATCCTTTACAAATTTCTTTGGATGAAAAAATATCAAATTGGAAAGAAAAACTTCCAGCGAAATTCTGCTGGCTATCAGGTGATTTCTCCAAAGACTGTTCTTTGATACAAAAGCATAGAATCATCGCTGCAAATCCAGAAGATTTTGATAATGTGTCAAAAGTGAAGTCAATGAAAATCTTTTTGTCACGTTTCAAATTAATAATTATTGATGATATCCACATGATGAACACCAACAAAGGTGCTCTTATAGAAGTAATTGTTGATCGAATGCGCAGATATTGCAGGAAATTAAGATTTGTTGTTATTGGAAACACCGTTGCAAATCCAATTGATTTAGCCGTTTATTTCGAAGTTGAATTGAAACAAACATTCAATTTCCCATTGGAAGCACGTCCTGTTGAAATGAAATTCCTTTTAAGAGGATCCCAGGACGAAACTATTCAGCGAGAATGGCTGCGATGAACAAACCTCTTTCTGATTCAATTAAATCTTTCTCTGAAGAATTGCCAACAATTATTTTCGTGTCAAGTAAGAAACAGACGAAATTGACAGCAAGTGAACTCATTGACTACGCAAACAACAGAGGAGAACCAGACTATTACAAGACAAAAGAAAGTACAGAAATGTCAGAAAAAGTTGATAACGAGGAATTGAGATATTTCTTGTCATTCGGAATTGGCATTCATCATAATTCATTAACGGATAAAGACAAGAAGATTGTTGAAGGTTTGTTTAGAAGAGGACAATTAAGGCTTCTTATTGCTCCTGTTTCTTTTGCTTGGGGTAAGTTTTTACCTGCAAAATTCGTTGTCATAAAAGGAACAGAATATTTCGATACAAAAACAAACCAATACGTTCCTTATCCAATCCAAGACATGCAGCAGATGATGGCAAGAGCAGGAAGACCTTATTTGGATCAAGAAGGTTTGTTAATGATCTATTGCGAAGAAAGTAGAAAAGAATTCTTGCAGAATTTCGTTTATTCTCCTGTTCCAATTGAATCTTCATTACCTAGTGTATTATTAGAAGTTATCAATGCAGAAGTAAGCAGCAGAAACATCAGATCTTTCAATGGAATGATGTCTTTCTTGCACAGATCTTTTCTTTTCATCAGAGTTAACCAGAATCCGAAATATTACATGAAAAACTTGGATGAAATCGCTAATGAAATCGTTGATAAACTTATCAGATATGAGTGTGTCTCAATCAATCATGAAGGAAAATTAAAACCAACACAATTAGGAAGAATTGCTGCTCTTTATGGTGTTTCTCCTTCAATTGTCCATAATTTCTTTGAGAAAACAAATGACGCAATGTCAATTGATTTGTTACTTAAAAGCATCTGTAATTCAGCAGATTTATCTGAAGTTCCTATCAGATTTGGTGAAGACAAGATATTGAGTGAAATGACACCGAGATATGAATATCACGAACCTTTGACTTCTTCTGCTGCAAAAGCATTTTTCATTTTGAACTATTACTTTTCAAACAGAAGAATGCCGAACCAAGATTTCGAAGCTGACAAAGCCGTGATACTCAAACAGACTCTCAAAATAGCTAAATGTTTCAGCGAAATCTGTTGCGTCAAAGGATTAGCAAATGAAACATTAAACTGTTTGGGAATTGTTCAAATGATTAATTTCGGTTTGTGGAATGATTCAAATCCACTTTTAGTACTGACAAACGAAGCCTTTGACTTCAAATACATTCACGAAGTCATGTTCACGAAACAGAGATTGCCAAAGATCTTGAATGAACTCAGAAACAATTTCTGTCTCTACAAGAAAACACAGATATTGTTGGATAGAACAAGAACTGCAATTAGAATTGAACTTGAAAAAGTGTCAGGAACAACAGGATCCCAAATTTTCAACAAGAATTGGGAGAATCAAAACACAATGCAGGCATTGCATGTGTTAGTTGTTGGCATCAAATCAGGAAAACTCTATTGCCACGACAGAGTTGTCTGCGACAAAGAAAATTTTGAGGGATTCGTTAGTTTATTTTCTCGATGAATATGCAATAAAATTTGATTTTTACCTTATCAATATACTTCATATAATATACACATGTTCATGTAAAAACTTTTTTCCAAAATCCTCAGGAATTAAGGGATTTTTGAATTTTAAGAATTTTTTTCGAATTTTTTCGAAAAAAAAATATTTTCAGAACAGCCTTAACGGCTAAGATTTAGGAACAATGTTAAGTATCAAAAAGAAAGGAGGTCTGATATAGACAACATATATCGTTGAAGGTTGAAAAAATCTCTAATATTTGAGCCCAAAATTTCAAATTTTAATTTTTTGAAAAAAGAGCCCACCTGTATGTACGTTTATTTGAGAGGAGGATTATATTTTTGAAAGGGTGAAACATTATGAATATGTTAATTATATAATAATATGTATTATTATAAAAAAGAAAAAATAAAGAACGTTAAAATTTTTCTTTCTTGATTTTTTACAAAATCTACTTAGAATTATGCAAAATATGACTAAATAATTATAAATTTCAAGTTAAATTTTAATTTTGATAAATAATTTAAATTTCAAAATATCAAGTTCAGTTCGACTATGTATGTAGTAATTCCTCAATAAAGTGTCAAAACCCTATTAAAATATATGAACATTTTCAACATTTTAATGTTTTTATTTAAAAATTTGTTGGAATATGAGCTTCAAACAATTATTATGTAAATAAAAATAATTAAATATATGTATTTATTCGTATTACAACCGTAGTAAGTCGATTCTTCCTTTCTTCTACTGAGGTTTGAATTTGATTTCGAATTGTAAAGAGATTCAAAGGGAAAATACTAGCGGATAAAAACTACCTCCATGAAAGGGTCATAATGGAGTCAAGTTGTATTTTTTGATATTTTTTGCTTTTCGAGCCTAAATAGGTAGCCAAGATAATGCCTAAAAATAAGGTTCTAAATTCTGAAGTTTACATGATCCTCTCGTGTGCACCCTTAAAATTTGAAATTTTGGGCTCAAATATTAGAGATTTTTTCAACCTTCAACGATATATGTTGTCTATATCAGACCTCCTTTCTTTTTGATACTTAACATTAGAGATGCGAGTTTCCGAATTTTTTTAGCCCTGGGATGTCATAACCGCTGCGGTTTTGTAAAATTTGGGATAAATTTTGACAATCCATTTTTTGTGGGATGTACGTTTATATCAATTTGCTCGGCGTTTGCCGAGCTATTGTACAATCCTACTCGAATTCATTACGCAGCCCTGGTCACTCAAAGGCCAGGGCATACAATTACAAAATAGTAGAGTGAGACTCTTCTAATTTCTTCCAATCACAAGAAAGATCTTAGAAGAGCCTCACTCTACTCGAACACATTACGCAGCCCTGGTCACTCAAAGGCCAGGGCATACAATTACAAAATAGTAGAGTGAGACTCTTCTAATTTCTTCCAATCACAAGGAAGATCTTAGAAGAGCCTCACTCTACTCGAACACATTACGCAGCTCCTGCTCAACAATGAGCAGGTCTTACCACTTTGAGAGGCTTTCGTTCGAGTTCTGATGCAGATCCCAACGCGAGCGAGAGTCTCTCAAGCAAGCTTCTAATTCGTAGCTAGAGTTTCACTCTTATGAACTGGCAGCCAATTTGAGAGACTTTCGCTCGAGATCTAATGAAAAATCAGAACTCGGCCAAAAATTGCCCAAACAGGCTTGTAATTCGTAGCTATAGTATTGATCGTATGGATGTGTTGCCAATATGAGAGACTTTCGCTCGATGTCTGATATTGCATCAGACATCGAGCGAAAGTCACTCAAAACAGCTTAGACATGTCTATTTTGACGGCATTAAATGATTTCATAGGAAATGTCTCAGTTGTTAATTAAGTTCACGTGAGCTTTTATGAATGAAAATAAGTAAAAAAAAGAATTTTCTCAAAAAAATTGTGTACGCATTGAAATTTTTATCTATAAATTTAGATATGTCATCAATAATATAATATAATTTTAAATTCGTGGAGTACACTTGGGATAATTGAATATGGGCTACCCCATCCCAACCTCTCAAACTTCCTCTGAATTTGGACAAGGTATCCCAATCCCAAAGACCTATCTGAATAAAATGAAATAAGTATATTATATATATTATTTATTTGCTAATAATGAGCATAAATCGCTAAAATTATGAAGAAATTAAAAATTAAAAATTAAAATTAGAAAAAAATGTTGATTTAATGAGAGAATATTGTATAAAAATAGAATTATTAGCTAAAATACGTATTAATTTTATGATATTTCAATCACATTAACGAAAATCGCCCATTTTTAATTCAAATGGGCGGGAAAAAAATAAAATTCCAAAAAAAAAATTGAATTGGGGAAACGATAGGGGACGGGATATAAGAAACCCCATATGTTTGGGAATTTTTCGCATCACTACTTAACATTGTTCCTAAATCTTAGCCGTTAAGGCTGTTCTGAAAATATTTTTTTTTCGAAAAAATTCGAAAAAAATTCTTAAAATTCAAAAATCCCTTAATTCCTGAGGATTTTGGAAAAAAGTTTTTACATGAACATGTGTATATTATATGAAGTATATTGATAAGGTAAAAATCAAATTTTATTGCATATTCATCGAGAAAATAAACTAACGAATCCCTCAAAATTGAGAGGGTAATCCTCCTCCTCTCAAATAAACGTACATACGGGTGCACCCTTAATACTTATGAAAGGGAAGAATTCGATCTTTTTTATTGTGTGGCTTTATTTCGATTTTATGCTATTGTCATTTGGAATTTTCACAGTCATTAAGAATTACACACCTTTATTGCTAGAAAGTGGCGATATTTACTGTGATTGGAATGCATCAACAGTTTCAGCTGGCACTCAACGGGATGTTGTATTCTTATTTGCTACAAGTATTGGAAAAGGATTACATTTAGCTTACATTTCACTCAGATCAACTGGTTCAAATTGCAGAATAATTTTATTTGTACCAGAAAAACTAAATCTCTCTCCTAAAGAAAAGAAAATGCTCAAAATATACAAAGTTGAAGTCGTAAAAATACAAGAAAATGTCCGAAACGACAAAACAGTTCCTCATATGGATAGATACGAACATGAATACGAATGGCTTACGAATAATCTTAAAGATGTAGATAGAGTGTTCCATACAGACGCATTTGATGTATTTTTCCAAGGAGATCCATTTGCAGATATTTTATCAAATAATTCTCTCACTTTAGCACTTGAACCACATCAATTTAGATCATGCGGATGGAACCTAGCCTGGTTGAAAGAATGCTATGGCGATGCAGTGCTTGGACAGTTACATCACAATTTCATTTTGTGTTCTGGATCTATTGGAGGCTCTGCACATGAATATCTTAAGTTATTGAACCTAATGATTACGTCAGACCACTGGATTAAATGCTGGGATTCAAGTATGGATCAGCCAATCTTAAATTACATGATTTGGTCCGGAAAAGCAACAAAAGAAGGAATTAAATATAAATTGACAGGCTGTAACGAAGGATTCTACACAATGCAGTGGTGTATCAAAGGGAAAAATATTTTATTCAACGAACACAAACAAATTGTATCAATTGAAGGAACTGTTCCTGCATACATTCATCAGTATAACAGATACGAATCTTTACAGAACCTTCTTTTCGAGAAATGCCATATTACAGGCTAAATTATAATATAGTCAATCCCATGATGCTTTTAGGACATATACATGGCCATGCGATGCCAGAATTGTTAATTTCTTTTGGCTTTTACAGAATTTTCCCGATATATTTTTATAATAACTTTTGACGTTCAAATAATTCTCATAAAGCTTGTTTAGTACTCATTTAACATGTTTCAGTCCAATATTTTTTGAGATTTTTTTATTCAATGAAATTCATTTATTAATTGTCATTATTATCGTTTGTATTAGAACTATTAAATCTATATTTGTTATTTTCACGTGACGTTGGGCAAATTTGGCCCTTCCCCAAATTTTTTTAGAAAACTTTTAAAATTTGATTTCCTTTAGCAACAATAAAGTAATTAAAAGAAATATGTCAAACAAATATCATTTATATCAACAAACAACACGATTACCAAACTGCAAATGGATTGTCTTCAAATATATCAAGACATTTTGAAAAGTATTCAAATCCTTGGAATAAGAAATCTTTTCCATCATAGAAACTAGTTTTAACTGCTTCAATCTTTTGCGTTGGCTTTTCCTCTTCAGGTTCTGATGAACAAATGTCACCACTGGTTTGGATTTGTCTTATTAACATATTCCATCTATTTTTTATAGCTGCATCTGTTCTTTTATTGAAAATTTTTGAAAATTTTGTCCATTTCGGACCCATTTGTTTATATTTATCTAAAATCATTTGATCTTCTTCTTTTGTCCATGGATCTCTGTTTATATCAGGGGAAAGATATTTGGTATATCTCTCTCTGCATTGGCGAACATTTCTGTTTCCCATAAGTTGTGCAATAAGATCCCAATTTTCTTGTCCATAGTAAGTTACATAATTGACTAATTGCGCATCTTCTTTTGATGAAAATTGCATTTTGGGATGTGGTTTCCCTATTGAGCCAAGAGAGCGACGTGATAATCCTGAGTAATTCATTAATATTTCTATTTTAATATTCATTCAAATTTGATAAATTTAAATTTTGAATACTTTTTAAAAATTCTGTGGGTAATAAATATGATATTTTATTCGGTTCTTTGATGCAATGCTGGAAACAAGCTGGTTTTCTAATTTATCAATGGAAATATGATTATTTTTTGTGAAGATAAAACCGCAATATTGAATTCATTAATCAAACCAAATCAAATAAATTGCGAGTATTTATACAATCTATCAAGAATGCATTCTATCATATGTCAATTTTCAATTATTTATTGAGATGTTCTAGAAAAATTTTCAATGATTTCAGCATACGTTGAATTTAAATTTTACATCATGTAAATTCTATTAACCCAACGATGACCAATTTTAAAACGATGACGTAAAAATCATATCTCACCTTGAATATGTTTTAATTTCCACCGCCAATTTCTTCTCTCAAAAAATAATCAACGCAACTTCATTTCAACACTGAAATTATAATAATTAAAATATACGCTATATTGTTGATGTTTTTCACTTTAAATTCAAAAATAATATTTAGTGGGTCAGTGAAGGCTTGTCAATGTGGGTCGACCAACTTAATTTTGGATAATAAATTCACCTACTAGGGTGCTAACAAAGAGGAAAATGATCTAATAACTTACTTCTCTCTTCAAAATTCAAAAGAAATCTTCTTGATTCTAAATTTGTTTACTTTTTTTGTCAACATTTTACCAAAACAATAGGATGTACATGTACATGCTTTGATAACATAAGATTTTAATTTGGTATTCCCAATTTCTTCTAAAACAATAATCTGAACATTAATATATACATTTCATTAACAAATAGGAAATTCCAATTCTGAACAGGGTTCTTTTCCCACTTTGTTTAATTTTTAAGTTTCAATTATTTTATTGCTATCCCTATTCGAAACTATTTACTTAAAGTGGTGTTTTATTATTTCATCACTCATGAATATTAGCATCATTAATTTTAAATAATACAAAACATTCTTAATGTCGATTTAATTTTTTAATAATCTGGTTTAGATTAGCCTACCATATCTTAAACAAATATCAACAAATAAGTCGTGAATCTGGTTCAAACAAAAATACTGAACTCGTATTAATAATGAAAAAAAAATAAATAAAAAAAATATAAAAACTCAATCGGAAAGGTACCATATTACTTTTCTTTAAGATAAAGCTATTCGCAAATATTCTCCTCGCTATTTATAAGATTCGCTTCGACCAATTTGATAACAATAAAAACGTATTTATAAATAGATACACAGTTGATGGAACGGTTCACATCTATTACCAATGACTCATTCAGCATGATACACCATCATATTATCAGATAGAGCATTCTTAGATGACTCATATGTCCGATCTCTAAACTTTACACATATTCAATATAATTAAATTATAAAGATTTTAATTCTTTTTCTCATTTAAATATTAATATATGGAACAATGTAAAGATGCTTGTTTAATCGTTCCATTCTCAACTTTTTTATACTTGCAGTCCATATAGAGTAAATATAATCTAGAACATTATTTATTTACATATTTATTGAACTTTACAAATATTTTTCTATTCAAAATAATCTAAAAAAATGGGAGCAGCTGGTTCATATCCAGCATTTGACATGAACAGGACAGCATGCCTTCTGAAAGGTGGAGGACTATCAAGGGTTTGCTATTCCTTCAAAGACGGCCATCCTCTTGAGTATCTCGATGTCTCCGATAACCAACTCACTCAGCTTCCATTAAATCTCAAAAACTTACGTGTTATTGACTTGTCAAACAACAAGCTTAACGAGCTTAATGCCCAAATGGTCCAAGCTATCGAATCATACGAGAACTTGCTTGAATTAAAGCTCGCGCACAACAATCTAACCGGCTTGCCGGCAATAATCGGCAAAATGCAAAATTTGAATAAGCTCCACCTCAGCGGAAACAAATTCACTGAACCTCCTAAAGAAATACAATTCATCCAGTTCTTGGATTTGTCATGTAATAAGCTAACATACATCACTATGACTGATCGCTTGGTAACTTTGTATGCAAATTTCAACAGATTGACCACTTTATCTTGCTTAAATCGCAGTTTGACAACACTTAACATTTCAGGAAACGATATTGTTACAATTGATGATGCAAAGTTCGAATCCCTCCAGAACCTTGATGTTTCTTCAAACATGTTAGAATCAATCGATAAAATCATGGAAAATTGTCCAAGACTAGAGATTCTTGATATCTCATACAACAAGATCAAACATATCCCAGCACTACCCGATCGTCTCATTACTCTAAATGCCAATGACAACCAAATTTCTTCGATAGATCCTTCATTCTCCAATTTACCTTTACTCAGAACAATTTTCATCTTCAACAACAACCTCACAAGCATCCCTCGATTACCAAAACTCGCCTCACGCCTTCGAATTGACAGTAATAAACTTACAGATTTTCCAACTGTCGAATCCGATTCTATTGAAGGCATCCAGCTGATGTCCAACATGCTTACTGATATTCCTAATATCTCCAAGACCAAAATCCAGCTTCTTTACTGCTGTGACAACAAAATTTCCCTTTTATCTCCCAAAAATCTCTGCAATTCGCTCATCAGCATCAATCTCTCCCAAAACAGCATATCCGTCCTACCCAAGGAGCTCTTCTCCCTTCCCACACTCCAAACCCTGACTCTGAATGACAACTTCATCAAAGAGATTCCGCCAGAAATAGAGGACTCCAAGCTTCTCCAGCTGAACATCTCCAGCAACCCGATCAGCGAGATGTCTCCCCTCCCCTCCACTCTGCAGTGCCTCCTCGCCTTCAACTGCAAGTTCACTGAGATCAGCACGAGAGTCAGAGCCCTGCCTTTTCTGCGTGTCCTCGACATGAGCTACAACGAAATCAAGAGGCTGGTGAAACTGGACGGGTGCGCGAACATATTTTTCGGCCACAACCAGATAAATGAGGTTCCAGAGCTGTGGAAGGATCTGCTGCTGTGCGATTTGTCGTATAATCAGATAACGAAAGTCGCAATTTCGCAGGAGAACACTTTGATGCAGGAATTAGATTTATCTCACAACAATTTGAAGGAGTTTGTTGTTCCTGGCGTTAGAGATAGGCTCAAAATCCTCAAACTCAGCCATAATCCTGAGTTTTCTTTCAGATTTGACTTTGAAACTTTTCCAAAACTGGATTCTATCGATGTTTCATGCACAAAAGTTAAGATTCCATACCCTCCGTCCACTCTCCGCGAACTTTTGACCAGCGATTTGAAGTTTTTCAAGTCCGCCGACCTCAATTCCGTAAATTACATCTCTCCTGGCATCGGATACGCTGATTTGAAGGGCTACAGAGAGACTATGGAGGATTCCCTCCTTGTTCGGACTGATTTCCCTGCCGGATTTGACGCATTCGCTGTTTTGGACGGCCACGGCGGAAGTGCGACCGCGATGGAGGCCATGCATCTCTTCCACCAGCACCTGAGCGAGATGAAGGCCGTGACAGAGCTTTCCATCCGCAAAATGGTCGAATCTCTTGTGGAAGACGTCAAAAAAGCGAATTACGAGGACGGCTGCACTCTCTGCATGGCCATCATCTGCTCCGGAACGATCTTTGCAGTCAACATCGGAGATTCGAGGATGCTTCTCGTTAAGGATAAGGCTGAGTTTGTCCCTCTCTCGAAGGACCACAAGCCAAACAGCAGGGATGAGCTGGAGAGAATCAGGAAGACAGGGAACTGCGTCGCAAACGGCAGAACAAGCGGAATACTCGCTCTCAGCAGATCTATCGGAGATTTCGGAATCGGCGGAGTCTCTTCCTCGCCAGACATCGTTGTCCACAAGATAGAGCAAGGCGACAGAAAGGTGGTCATATGCTGCGACGGTGTTTACGACGTTCTGAGTAACGAAGAAGTCGCAAAACACGCTTTGAGGTTCGAGGATCCGTTCGAAAGCGCCGCATTCATTAGAAATGCTGCATTCGCACGACAGACACAGGACAACGTGACATCGATAGTCATCGATCTCGCGAGATATAAACAGAATTAGATTATACAGTAATTAGAGGCAGTGCAAACATCGCTTTCTATAGTAAAATAGTGTTTTTTATAATTTAATTTCTTTATTTTGTAAATTTTGATTGTATTTAAAAACTATGTTCTATGTTCGCAAAATGGCGAATTGCACCATTTCTAATAAGCTTGTCGGACCGGTAATTTTTTCAAAAAATTTCGGGCCTCGGCCAAAATGCATATCAATTTATAGTCAGAGGCAATCGATTATTATTAATACAATATACATACAATATGCTATATCTTTTATCATATAATATATATAGGGAAATGAGTCACTGATAGTCAATTTGAAAATCGCAAAGAAACTCTTTCATATTCAAGAATTAATTATATATTATAATATTGAGAATAGTGTAAGTCCTGTATTTACTAATAGATTTGTTTTTATTCATATTTCCCATACATGCTATGAATCTCAGATGATATTTTATAATGTATCCGTGTAAATATCACAAATATATTCAAAATTAATGTGATATTGGCAATAATTTTAAAAATACTGATAAAGGGGTGAAAATCAAAAATTCGGCGGTGTTAATAAAAATTCCTAAAAATTGCCAAATCCGGAGATTCGTGGGGGTGATTCTTTTTATTTTGGAGATTCTGGACAAGCTAAATATTGGTTACTTATAATAATTTATCATAAAAAAAAACTTTAATCTACGATAAGAAAGGTATTTATTAAAAGTAAATTTATGCATTAGTATTCTTAGAAATGTGACCAATGATGCTGATATCTTCATCATCGTCGTGAAATGCACCGCCATGAAGGTCATTTTCGTCGACAACGTCAGATCCATCATCATTAACAGCAAATCCGTGGATGTCGAACTTGTTAAAAGCAATGCAAGGTGGATATCCAGGGCATGGCTGATCTTGGAATAGTCTAACGTATTTACCAACGTAAGTGGCGTCTAATTTGTATGTTTTCTCACTGCAAATCCTCATGGTAGAATCCTTTTCGACCTTGTGAATTGTCTTCCACTCTTTTTTATCATCCGAAATTTGGAGGGACCAACTGTACAAACAGCAATCAAAGCAGTTGTAGTATCCATCATCACAGCAGCAGCCATCGTAACAGCATCCAACACGAAGGAAATAACCATTAATTTTGATTTTCTTTGATTGAATAGAGAAAGTAATAAAAGGGTGATCCTCATACGAATGCGCACACTCTGAACACCAATCGTATTTTTTATCCCATGGATAAATTGCGTATTCTGGCTTTGTCATTTGCTTTGTTCCATTTATGTACTGCAATGAGGATCCGCTCACTTCGATATTGATAATTTTGTCATTGTAGTATTTTGCGAATAATCCTTGCGTATTTATTTCGCTTGAAATGGTTTGAAAAAATAGAGAAATCATGATGAATAAAAAGTGACATTTGTAAAAAATCTTGTCACGTTTATAATTGGGGAAAAAGTTCAAATTTTAAATTCGATTTTATTATGTCAATTTCTTGAACAGTTGGTTATCAAACATTAGTGAATTAATGCAGTCTAATATGAACTATCATGTGGTAGAATTAATATCCGATTAATTAACAGATAAGTATTTAAGAATGTAATGATATATATGGAATTGAATTTTTTCTAATTTTTATATCGTTTGTATTCAAATTCACTTTTCCATTTCTTCCATAATTTAGCATATAAATGGAAAATCCTGAATATTACAACTTGTTTTGAGTATACATTAATAAGATGCTTTTAAGCGCACCCTTAAAATATGACAATTTAAACTGTGCATTTTTCTAAAATTTAAAAATGATAAATATAAAACAATTTCATTTATAACAAAAATAAAACGTGTTTGCTTTGTAGTTATTTTTTGATTGATAATTTTTTTATTAATAATAATATGAAGATTTCTTCTTCTGTTTCTTAGAGAAATTAGAATCTAAATTTGCCTGTTCGATTATAGAACTAGGCATCAGTGATGAATTTGTGTACTCTTCTCTGTAAGAAGTGTGTACTGCGACGCTCTTCTGTACGATGTCGGATTTGATGAATAAACTAATTACAGGGAAGTCTGGGTTACTCTTTATTCCTCCGAAGTTGAGGAAGTCAACCTTTCTCTGGTCTCCGCTGTAAACAAAGTTTGCGAAATCAAATCCAGGCTGGCAGACGATGTTGTACTGCACAGATTCGATCTCTTCTACAACAGAATCAACTCTTTCTTTCAATCTGTCGTAATAAACTCTGTTTCCTTTCGAAGCAGCTTCCAGAGCACAACTCATCGGACTTTGTGTCACGAAATGTCCCAAATCGCATTTTTGGAGCAAGATGTTGAAGCATTTCTCAGAGTTGTACTCAATTGCACAGTTAAGAAGAGTCAAATCGTCTGAAGAGTAAATAGAATTAACATTCAATCCATTTGCGATGAAAAGATTCAATAAGTCATCTCTGTCCTTGGAAACAGCCTCCAAAGAAGGACTGAACATGTAATAGTGTCCTTCGACGTAATTTATGTCTGCGCCTTTCTCCAAAAGTGACTTCAAAATTTCAATTTTTCCAGCACGAGTTGCCAAGAAAAGTAAGTCAGAATTTAACTCTGATTTCTCAATTACATCAATTCCTGTGAGAACTGAGTAGACGTTCTTCCACGCTGTCGTCGCTGATTTGATGTTCTCGTCAATAAATGTGTCAATTTGCTTGTTATCTTCATCACTGTAAATAATGTTTAAGTTTAGCGGTTTGACGATAGAATTAAAACGGTTTGTGAAGTGAAGTAAACAGAACAATGCCTCTTCCATCTCGTTTGAGTTTATCATTGATGAAAGCAGTGCTGCGTTTATTTCTGACAAACCTTTAATGTCAAACTTTGTTTGCAAACTATCAGCGACTTGGTTGAATCTGTAAATGATGTCCAATCTGTGACTGAACTCGTATTTGGCGAGTTTGAAGACAGTTGGGTTGTAGTACCTGACTTCCTCATTCACATTTGTTCTTCCGAGAATCACTTTCTGCACTTCCGGGGAGCAGTTTGTCATTGCGTAGTAAAGAGCTGTGTTTTGTTGGTATCCGATGTTTGCTCCCTCAGAAATGAATACAGGAATCTTGTCCGGAATGTAGTTGAACGACTCCTTGAATGGAGAGACACCATTAACAATTGCGTTCAGTTTTGCTCCTTTTCGAACTAAGATGTGCGCATTTGTCGAATCACGGTTTTTAATCAGCAAAAGTAAAGCGTTTGTAAGAGCAACAGGGGAGATATTGTACTCAAACATTTTTGTTGAGAATTTGGAGATGTTGAAGTTCATCTTTATCAAGTTGATGAAGTAGAAATCATCAAATTTTGTTGTCGATTGAATTACATTGGGAATTCCAGCTCTGATCGAGAAAATGATTAAAAAGTCCTTAGAGAACTTTTGTTTCTGCGCCAAAATATTTTTACAAATCTGCTGATTGAGAGGAACCCTCATTGCGAAGTTCAAATCCTGCTCTCTGTCCAATGTCCTCGACATTATTTCATTGACAATTGCAGAAGGTAATTCGCTGGCATTGTACTCTCCAGACAGAGATTTGATGAGGAAATTTGTTGGCAATATCTGTCTGAACTCTTTTCTCAGAAGGATTTTCTCTTTGTGGCTGTGGAATCCTTCCTGTTTGAGCAGCTCGTTTACGTTCTCTTCCGTTGCAGGGAGATAAGAAAGTGCCATGTCAACGTTGGAGTTATCGAGGAATTTGAAAATCTCTGGAATTTTCAGGTGTTTCGTGTTCTTTCTGTTGGAAAACAGGTACTTGCTCATGAAATCAACTGTTCTGATGTAGTCGAACTCTTCTTTTGTGTACTCAATGTGACGGAGAAGGGGAAGATTCAGCTGACTCTTCGATAATTCTTTGATATCAAGATATTGGCGGTTTTTATCGTCTTGTAAAAACTGCAATAACATGTGAGATGTTTCAGGATCCTGGAAGTTTTCATTCTGCTGTCTGAAGTTTTGTTTTGTGAATCCTTGTTGGTTCTCAAGTGGCTTCGTCGAATTTGCCAGGTAGATGTAGAACTTGAGGCAGTATTCGAAGTTTTCTTTCGTGTGTGGGAGGAAGTTTTGTCTCTTCAGAAGGTTTGAGAAGTTGTGGACGATCAATCTCTTCTCGTCTTCGTGGCCATTTATATACGATTTGAAAACCTCTGTGTTGAGCATCTCTGTGACGATTTCTGCTGCTCTTTGCTGCGAGTACAATCCGCTCTGTGTCATCATGATGAACTTGGCGTATGTCTGAGGGAGGAGGCCCCTGTCAATGAGGTGCTGGAACACTTTCGTTGTACGAGAAAGTAAAACTAAATTGACACAGTCAACTGGAGATAAAAGTGATAAAAATGATAGATCTTTCATTACTTCTGTTTGGTATGCTTTCGTTCTAACTATGTTGTCAATGTAGCAGTACCTCGTGATCATCATTTTGTCTTCGTCTGTCAGTGCCTGGCTCAAAAGAATGTCAACAATATGTGGCCAAATAAAAGGTGACATTTGTAAAGCTTCAATTAGATCTTTCTTTTCGAAATCGGCCTTGTATTTGGAGAGGATATCGAAGCACAGCTGGAAATCGTTCATTGATAGGCACTGCTTCATCACTTTCATTGCAGAAACAGCCGACAAAGGAAAGCCGTTCTTGTATCTCTCGTAAATGTCATTGACATCAGTGATCTTGTTGCTCTGCTCAATCAGAACTTGGTAGAGATCGCTGTAGTCTTTCTTGAGATTCACTAAATCATTTGTGGTCATCTTCGTATGGCCAAATTTGGGATGTGTTAAAATTAACCTTAAATGGTTTAAATAACCGTTACGATATGCGTAATCATATAATTTCTGCAACACATCTAGCTGGCAGCTGTCTAGGAAGTGGTTTATTGTGTCCTCGTCGCATGAGAGGAAGAACAAATCGATGGAGAAAACAGAAAACTGGGAAAGAACTCTCGTAATTTCAAATAATCCGTCAGAAGAAGCTAGCACAAGCAAATCATTCGCGTTGACAAAGAAATCTTTGTTCTTGAGACATAGGGAGTAAATAGATTTGATTGACATGGTCTCAGTAAGAATGAAAAGTGATAATTTCTCATTTAATAATGTTTCCGACCAATAATTTGAAACGATCCAGTCGTAAACTTGGTCCTGCCTGTAGAGGAGGGCCACCATCGCGAAATCTGCGAAGTTCTCGCCTGCCTGCCTCAGGATGGAGATGATTTCGAAGTTGCCGCCTGCAACAGCGAAACATGTGACTTCGTTTTTGAAATTCACGTTGTTGCTGATGAAAAACTTGAAGCAGTTGATGGAGCCGTACAGTGCAAACAGTTGCATTAATGTGCAGCAACGTCTGGAGCCGTAGAGATAGATAGTATCGAATTTAAATTCGGGTTTCGTTGTTAATTCGTGGAAGAAGTCAACATTGTCGTCAACAATGGCGGAAATCATGTCTTCTGAAAGTTTCGTATAGTTGGAATTGTTGTTTGGTACTGAAAAAAGCGTATCTGTAATTAAAGGTAAATAATTCCTTTCAGAAAAGATGCCTTGCTTGAGAATTGCGGACTCAACAGTCATCCAGTTGCTTGTCTTGTTCAAATTGTTCGAAAATTCTGGAGAAACTGTTAAGTTTTGAGTCGCAATGATTCTTAAGTTTTTTGAGAGTAAAGTATATAAATAAACGTAGGATTTAACCAGTTTTGGACGTATGAAGATGTGGATTTCGAGTTCGCGTAAGCCAAGATGGACGTTTTCTTCAATAAAATTAACTAATTTTTCTGTTTGCTTTTCATCGTTCGCGTCGTAATTGAAAAATGTCTTTTGGATATCATAATATTTTTCCAAGGGAGGTGGTAATTCTGTTGAATTGACATCTTGTGGTGGTAAAAAGTCAATTCTTCGCTCATTTTGCTCTGAATTATTCAAAACTGAAGAATATAGTTCTCTATCACCTAGTGATGTTGCAGCGTTCTCTATGGATTGTAATATTTGGTTTCTTCCATTTAAATTTGCATTATTTTGAGGTTGACCACGTTGAAAGGACCGGCGATAGCTGTAACTGAAAGGGGAATTGTTCTGCCGTCGAGTGAATTGATCAATAAAAGTACGTTTTAGAAAAGAAACACTACCAGTAAACTGAGTCATTTGACTTAGCGGTCAAATTGAATAGTTTACAAAAACTCTTCCTAAGGAGCCTTTGAGGAGATATCAAGTTGTTAACACCACATATTTGATGACTGTCTTAAATTACATGAAAAATTGACCTTACAGTGCCTCCAACAAGCATATCATGTTTCATGATATCCACATACGAGTTTTCTATGAGGAAGGATGTTTTAAAGAATTGGTAAAGATATTTCTAAAGTAACAATGATTTATTGTTTTTTGTGATATGAAAGGTAAAAAAGGGGGTTGGCGTCCTAAGGCGTCCTAGTGTAAATTTCTCAAAATTGTGATATTTACATCACATTTTTGAGAGGTTTATGGGCGTCCTAAGGGAAAATTGAATAGCTAGGGCGTCCCGAATTTTCATTCTAAGATTTAAATATATTATATACTTAAGTATACTACAAGAAATATAAAAATTAAATTTTTATTATGTTAACTTATAAGAAATTTTTTTGAATTATCGTTGATTTATTGTAATCTTTCCAGGCTATACTTTTGAAATCAACTTTACCTGTCATACGCATTAATGTAGTAGATGTCCAGGTGTAGCTATTATATCCCAGCAACATTGGTATTTTATCATTGTAAGATATCAAAATGAAGCGTTTTTTCAGATATAATTTTTCGTAAATTTTTCAAAAATAAGATGGTAAAAAAGCCTCGACTTGCTCGAAAAATAACAATTTTTTTACTTGTAAAAATAACCTTTTTACAGCATGGGCAGCTATTCAATCACTATTTCTTTTTCTAAAAGTATATTTTTCAAAAAAAATTAAGATCAAATTCGACAATTTCTTGATGAAAGCAAAAATATTACACATACTTCTAGATGCATGGGATAAAATATGCAATTATTCAATCAATTCGCATGATTTGAAAAAAAAATCTAAATTTGATAAAAATGTAGAAATTTTTTATTTTTAACTTGAGATTCGATTTTTTTGATCCAATTTGTGAATTTTTTTTGATCGGAATTTCAATTAATTTGTTGATCAAAAATGACCTCACAATGTTTGATCATAAGTGAAGTCATCTTCATGGGTATTTAGAAATTCCAAGAGAAATTGCTTATTTCTCGCAGATGTAATATCTGAGAAAATCGAATTTAAATATTCATAGAAACCCAAATCATTCTCCGGTTCGAATAATTCATCTGTTGCTTTTTCTGTTTTTTCTATGAATTTTAATAATTTGATTAATAAATCTTCATCAGGAAGAATTATTGCTGCATTTGTGATAAAATTCCATATTGAGGTAATATGGCAATAATTACATTTATAAAATGTAATTTTATCCAAAATTTTTTGGCAAATTCGCATAATAGCATTAATATTTGAAGCTGAGATTAAACCTGTGATTACTTCTGTAACTTTTGGAAAATCATCGCAATTTAATATCTCTTTATATTGAATTGAGAAATAAAAAAAATCAAATGGATTCATTTCTTCAATTTCAAGGAGATTGTAAAAATTGATAGAAGTGTTATTGCAACAAATTGTATTTGCAGCAAAAAATATCATTTGCTCGATTCCATTTTTGGAATAAATTTGCTGGAACAATGTTAAATTAAAACAGTTGCTTAATTTTTCTTCATTGTTTTCATAAAAAAGTAACAAGTTTGCAACTGAAATTTCAAAATTTTGATAATTGCCAGTTATTTCAGTAAATATATATATTTGCTTTTCTTCATCTAAAAATGGCAAATATTGATTTGCAATATTAACTAAAGTTTGGGATAAATTGTTCCAGTTTGATTTTACAATTTGTGAGCACATTATGTAATATGTAAATTTATCCGCTTTGTAGGAATTTAAAATTGTTTGTTGTTCTGTTTCAGTTAAATTACTGAATTTTTCAAGATTAATATTGTGATAAAAAATAGAATCCTTGAAACATTCTGATATCTTTTCAATGTTTAAAACGGATGCTAAAAAATGTAAAAGAACTTCATCAGTCACTGTGATTTTTTTGAAAAATTTATCCCAATTCAAGCATCCAATTGATCTTTCTGTCATTGTACTTATGCATTGATAAAGTTGATTTAATGAATCCGAAGAATAATCATTATGCTTGACTAGTTGAGTTAGTTGATACAGACTGTCGTCAGCCATTTTAAAAAAATGAATAAAATTGTATAGTAAATTATATTTGTGAAATTTGTGACGCTACATTCAATCTAAGACCAATATCTCAAAGAATTCCTCATTTAAGTATTACTTTTCATTGTTTTTTAAAAAATATCTTTGCTTATTTGTTCACTTTTTTGACATTTATTATATGCTTTTTATCATATTTCCGATGATATGAATATATATTCTATATAAGAATGACGCTACATTCAATCTAAGACCAATATCTCAAAGAATTCCTCATTTAAGTATTACTTTTCATTTTTGATTCAATTTTCGAACGGTTTTCGTAAATTTTGCATCATTTCATTTTTTAATGGGAAAATCATCTATATTTAATCAAAAAAGAGCAAACTTTACAGACGAAAATAAAATATTTATCAGGGAACAATCTGATAAATACCAAAAATCAACATCGAGAGATGAAAAAACGAATATAATCAAACAAGTTCTTCAATATTTTAATATTAAATACGCCGAAAATGAATCTAAAGCTGTCAGAAGATATTTTAGTTATATTGCAGTTAAAAATATTCCCGCAGTTACTGGAAAATATCCTGATACAATTGTTCGCAAAGATATGCTTTATTCGCATGATCATACAAATATTATTAATTCAAATAATATTGAACGTTACTACCGTTGCATCGATCATTCTTGTCAAGCACGTTATTTAGTTAAAATTGAGAACAGTTCAGTTTCCGAAGATTTACAAAAGGAACATATACCCGAATGCAGACAATTTAAAAAGTTACAAAATGAAAAAAATGATCTTCATAAATCAATGACTCTGACAGAAATATACAATAAGGCAATGGCAAAATTTTCTGAAGACAACGGCACTTTTCAGCAGATTAAAAAATTTATGACAGAACTTGCTGTTGGTACTGATGAAAACCCATTAATTAAAGATTCATTGGTCAGGGAAGTTTATAATAAGTCCAGAAAATTTTCTGTTGGAGAAAAAATTACAGACGATGAAATTGCTAATTTTTGTTTAATAAATGGCGAGCAGTTTTTCATTGGCCATGATTTTCAAGCAAATTGTGAGACGATGTTTTTTGGTTTTGAGAAGGCAATTCAATTTGCAAAAGAAGCCACAGATTTATTTTGCGATGGAACTTTTAAAATTACACCAAAACATTTTCAAAAAGGACAGATGCTAACAATTATGATTTGTGAACCTTCAACAAATCAATATCTACCACTTTTATTTATATTCATGAAAAACCGCACATTTGAATCTTATAAGAAGGCATTTGAATATATTTTTACTGTCAAGGGTATTCAATTTTCAAAGCTAATTCAAATTCATTGTGATTTTGAAAAGGGAATGATAGAGGCACTTCAACAAATTTTCCCTAAAGTCCGTATAATTGGATGCCTATTTCATTTCAAACAAGCTTTACACAGGAAACTTGTAGCACTTTATACAAAAAATTTCAATACTTTACAAAATTCTTTATTTAAGCTATATTCTATTACTCCATTCATGTCTCATGAAGAATTTGTACTTACAATGCATATAATTAATCAAAATAAAGTTGATTCGATCAAAGATTATATTGATTATTTCAACAAAGTTTGGTTGCCGCACTACAATTTAATATCTCAATATAATAATGCAACTGCAATATTCACTAATGATTGCCTCGAGAGTATGCATTCAGAATTTTCTTCGTTAAAACATCCAAACATTTATGAAGCTATTAAGAAGATATCTCAAATCCAATTAGATAAATATAACGCCATCAAAAATAACCAGAAGATCGAGCGCCATATAAAAACCGTTATCACTGATAGCTACAAAAATTATATTCTTGACTGCTTTCAAAAAGAACTTGAGAAAACAATTTTTTCTATCAAACAATACAACGTAAGTGATCTTTCTTTGGCTCAGAACGAGATTTCTCCATATGGTTCCATAGAATCGAGTTCATTGTTCGAAAATATTCCAGTTCATGATGCAGATATACTCAAATCGATCGATCTAACAGATAAAGATACAATGATCACTAAGTTTATTAATGAAAAAAGAGAAAAAATTATGGCATTATTTAATGAAACATTAAATCATCCAGATTTTAATTCATCCACTCCAATTCAAACTAATTTTGAGCAAGCCGATACAAATCAAGGTTCAGATGCTCCAATTCGCTCCGAAAATTCAAATATTGCAGACTCTACAGATTTAGAACCAGAAAATCAAAACCATCCTTCTACAAATCAAATGTCTAGTAATCTAGAACATAAGCTGGACCTTCTTGATCATATTGAAAAACAATTATCGAAAATGCGCTCGTTATTGGGAATTCTTCCTACTACAAATGCTATTGTTGGGCCGTCAAAACAAGTTTCAGTTAATAGCAAGCAAAATTCTGAAAAAAATAAGAAAAAATCTTCCATAACAACAAAATCAAACAATAAAAAACAAAATTCATCCGACAATCCTCCTAAACGTAAAGCTCCTATTTCGGAAAGGATTCTCAGCGATAATAACTTATATTTTCAAGTTCATCGAAAGAGATCGAAAAGCAAACGTTCCACATCTACAGAGAAAAAGAATTGATATATGAAGTCTAATTCCTTTTATAACTACTATATTTTTATTCTTATGACTAAAAAATAATATATTATTTAACAATTTTCATTTTTTTCTTTTCACAATTTCGTTTTATTTCCATTTATTGTTAAATGATTTTTAGCATACACCTTTCTTTGTTCATCTTCTAAATACAATTTATTTTTTCTTAGATATAATTCTATTCATTCAATTCGATCGTCATTTTTCAGTACATGATCGTAATTTTCAATTATTGATCGCGATTTTACTTCAGAATTTGTTTG